AAAAAAAAATTGGGGGTCCACGATAGTGGATCTCAACACATACACTGATAGTACCTATTTACTTACATCATACTATCTTATAATATCAAGACATCATTAGCCGAGGAGATTTAAGATTAACCCTTACAAAATTGACGCCAAATGTTGATAATTTATTATTAAAGCATCAGGTTCATCCTTCTCACTAAAAATATTGACTTATTGCTTATGTTATTTTATTTATAGTTTATTTTATGTTACGTATATTTTACATAACAGATACAAAATTTTATTTTGAGTAGTTTTAATTTAAATTCAATTAATAATAATATATAAATTAACATGTGTTTTTACTTTAAGTTTTTAACACTAAACTTTAATACAGTTAGAAATTTACAGGAAATCAATATCAGGTAAGTAGGGGGTCTACCCGACACAGAAAAACATGGCAAGGGGTCTACGACACAAAAAAGTTTGGGGAACTCTGCTATAGAAGTAAGATGAAGGGCCATGAAGCAGTGTTAGCATTGACCATGAATGTGGAGCGTTGATGCTCGTGGATGTGGCGATCCGCGCATGGCGAGCCAGCGGCTTGTTCGCAAATCGTGTACAGTCTTCCGCCGAACAGCTAAGCGCGATGACATGCCGCGCGCCACCCCTCGCATGTAAAGCTCAAAACTTCCGCGAACGATTCGAACAGCTCAACTGAAAATTGTAATAGCGTTAAAACGCGTGTGCAGTGCCGACCGTTTATGATTTCCGTCGTTCTAAAGTCGACATCGCCGAAAGGAAAATGACGGGCCGATTATTTTTTCACGTTCGTAAACAATGAATATGAGTTTGGGTGTTAAAAGCTTTTTGTGTATGTTTGTTGTATTTGTCTCCTCCGGGCTAGGGTATGTCTTCGAAATGAAAAGGGTGTAAATTCGTAAATTGAATTGGCCTATCTAGTATTGGGAGAGGTTTAAAAAAACGTGCTTTAGTTTCTCAATAATTGAATATGGTTTAAAAAAATAACAAGATTTGACGCTATCGCATGTTGATTTCACGGTATAATGGCTTTGAAATTGCTTTTATTTACGTTAATTCATAGTATAACTAACTCGCATTAAAAAAATATATTTCGAAAATTGAATCTATAGAAATAAATATGACTTCATTTGTAAAGATATCAAACGCCTAACTCACATAAAAAATATATATTTCGAAAATTGAATCTATAGAAATAAATATGACTTCATTTGAAACGCGCTACATACTTTCAAAACCTACATAAAAATCTGA